GGTAAAGCAGGGTCCTCTTGCAACCACACGTGGTCCTTTCAAAGGGGGCTTCTCGTCTGCAGTGGTAAAACAACGCCATGCAGGAACATCACAAGCCTGGACTGTTTGCATGCAACGGAGGAAACAGCCTCCCGTCTACTTGTAGGAAAGTAAAGCAGGGAAAACATCAGAAGTATTCCTGTTTACAAAAGACAGCAGAGCCGGGCATGCTTTCCAATTACACACTGCAAAACCATCAATATACCTGCAATAATTCTGGAAGGCGTTTTAAAAAAAACAAAACACCCCCACCCCACCCCCAAGCCTGTCTTTGAGGCGTGCGCCACGGCTGCTCCCTGCGCTCAAGAAGGCACAGGAAGCATCGGGAGGCTGTGCCAGCGAGGGCCTGATGCAAGAAAGGCGGCAAGGCACAAGCGATCTCTATGCCTCCTGACCAGTGCAAACAGAAAACAACTAAGATGCGGGGGGGGGGGAGGAAGGAGAGAGATTGTCACGTGACAAAAAGGGAGGGGGGCCAGCCTACAGACACCCCCACCCTCAAGCCTGTTATGAGCAAGCAGACAGATGCATTACCAACAGCTGCAGTGTGCATAAAACATGCATACACTGGGAGGAGAGAAAGGCGTGGGGACAGGCAGAGGGAGAGAGAGGAGTGCAGGGAGCGAAGATGCACAATGATGCAACCCGAGGGCAATATGGGCCACGGGGCGCAGCTGGCTGCCTGCCCTACTGGCTGAAACGAAAGCAGGCTCGCCGCCATTTGGACAGGTGTTGCAGGGTTTGGCCAAGGGAGAAGGGGGCAGCGCCAAGCAGCCTGTGCTCCTTCCAACCGGAGGCACCGAAATCTAGTTCTGTGTGTGCTTCTTTCTGTGTGCTGTCTTTCCACCAAGCTGCGGGGAGCAAGGAAACATTGGCGCTTATCAAGGCACTCCCCCCCAAAATCCTAGCACGCTACACAGAATTTCTTGCAATGCTGTGTTGCAAACAATTTGGAGAGAGAGAGAGAGAGAGAGAATGGCTTGCTCCAGAGTAAAAAAAAAGAGTCCAGAATCAAGAGCTTAGAAGACTTGATGATGATGATGATGTGCCGTCAAGTCAATTCTGATTTATCACGACCCTTTTCAGTGTTTCCAGGTAGAGAATGTACTCAGAAGTTGTTTTACCCTACCCTTCCTCTAGGGGCGCTGTGGGATTGTGCGATTTGCCCAAGGCCACCGAGGCTGCCTCTACTCACGGGAGGCACAAGAGGGGAATCGAACTCCCAACCGCTGGCTCTGCAGCCTGCTTACTCATCTTGAATGTTTGGAAATGGGTTAAAAGAAATTTTGCTGTAGAGTACGACTGTCAGGGACCCCTCGTCAAGGGTGGGGGTGGGGAATTGTTAAAACAAATGGCCACTAGAGGGTGCTAGCTGGCTGTCTGGCTCAGTGGTTGAAGTCTCTGGTTGTGGAGCCAGAGGCTGGGAAAACTATTCTATCCACTTGGTCTCCTTTGAGAGAAGAGCCAGCCTGGGCAAGCTGCACCGTCCCAGAAAATGCCCCTTAGAGAAGAAGGGAAGGGGGGGAAACCACTTCTGGGTACTCCCTGCCAGGGAAATCCTGAAAAGGGTTGCTGTAGGTCAGAATTGATTTGACCGCACATGATGATGGTCATCATGCAAAAACACCAGGCACAGTCAATCAAAACTAGAAAAACATTGACTGGAATTATATGACAGCTCCAAGGTTTAACCAAAAACCTAGGTATCTGTTAAATATCGGTGTAGTAGGTATGCTATTCCTAATATTGCCGGGTTTTGTAGCTCTGATGGTGTGGTTTCTCAGATCTGCAACTGCTTATCGTACTGTGTCAAATGTCTCGATATTGTTCCCAAAACCCCGATGGCTACGGCGACCACTGAAGTGTGTTTCTTCCAGAGGCGAAATGTTTCCATAGACAGGTCTCTGTCCTTTGTTAGTTTTTTCCAGTTCTTTATTTTCAACTCTGGCATCCCCTGGAATTGCAATGTCAATGATCCCAAAATTTCTTCATTCTATTACTACTATGTCTGGTGTGTTATGTTCCTGGTGTCTATCAGATTGGATCAGGAAATACCACAAGATCTTAACTTCCACGTTATCTGACACCTTCTCAAAAGGTGCAGAAGAGAGGGACTCGGATGATGACTGGGCTGGGGCACCTCCCTTCTGAGGAAAGGCGACAGCGTTTGGAGCTCTTGAGTCTAGACATGATTGAGATGTATCAAATAAGGCAGGGGATGAATAAAGTGGATAGAGGGAAGCTCTTTTCCCTTTCACACAATACCGGAACTGGAGGACATCCACTCAAATCAAGTGCTGGGAGAGCGAGAACAGGCCAAAGAAAATATTTTTTTGACCCAGTGGATTGTTAGTCTTTGGAACCAGATAGAGGGACGCTTTTTCCCCTTTCACGCAATACCAGAACCAGGGGACATCCACTCAAATCAAGCGCTGGGAGAGTGACCACAGACCAAAGAAAAAAATTTCTTGACCCAGTGGATTGTTAGTCTTTGGAACTCCTTGCCACAGGATGGGGTGATGGCATCTGGCCGAGATGCCTTGAAAAGGGGGTTGGAGAGATTCCTTCTTATGTTCTTTTGATGTTCCCACCGGTGTTTGGAAACTGGCAAGTTATATTTTTTTTGCATAATGACCAGTGCACTAATTTTGCCACCAGATCATGTCTAATTTTGTAATCTGTGTAATCTTTGGACACTCACAGATGCGGTGTGACACAGTTTCATCTTTTTCTTGTCAGAGTCAACATTTGCTGTTAGCATTAATTCCTTGGATCTTAGCTTTCCTCACGTTGGTTTGGAGTGCTTGTTCTTGGGCAGCAAAAATCAAGCCTTCGGTTTGCTTCTTAAGCGTCCCCAGTTTTAGCCATGCCCATGTTGAATTATGATCACGTTTTCCATCAATATTTCTGAGGTGTTGTCCATATAGTGGCTTAATTTTCCAGCTGTTTAATTTATTTTCAAATTGTTGTTTGTTATATTGAGCCTTTGTTTCTGTTGTTTTCAAAATATTCTCCATTTTCACTGCTGCCTCAATAAAGTTTCTACTGATATAATCATTTAGGCTTCTTTTTTCCCTTCTCTACTACCTGCTGTATTTGCAGTAATCCACGGCCTCCGATTTTTTGTGGTAAATATAATCTGTTCACTTAACTTTTCGGATGTAGGGCGTGATGCACGTTCATTAGTTTCTGTGTTCGATCCAATTACAGTATTCTCATTCGTTTTGAGTCCAATCTATTATTCCAGCTGGGTATCTAATAAATGGAACTGCCCATGTGTTTATGGCTTTGATTGAATTTCCCCCCATTTAGTTCTGATTGTAAGTTGTTGTTGTTGTTGGTATTGGTAGTAGTTGTTGTTGTTTAGTCATTAAGTCGTGTCCGACTCTTCGTGACCCCATGGACCAGA